CCCGATTTATCAAAATCTGGGCCCTAGAGGGAGGACTATAACAGTTTTGCGAGGCGCCCGGGGCTACTCGGGGCGAGCAGAAAATTAATGGCATTGTCGCGGGCTTCCAAGCGGCGGCCAGGCGGCCATTCCTCAACGTCGCCCATGCTCGGCGCCCCCGGGACGGACACCACACCCCATAGATGCCCTCGATTCCTTGCCTGCCCACCAACCCCCACTAAACCCCGCTTTAGGCTTTCTAAATCTTTGCATATCATTGGCAGCTAATCCGTTGGGAAATATGGGAATTGAAATTTTTTGAGCAAAAAATTGGGTTTAAAGGGATTCGGACGACGTCTCATTGCCTCGAAGAACGACACATTTTTCAGTAAAATATTACTCATCCCTTTTTTTAACTCTTTGCATATTCTACCTACCATTAGTAGCTGAAGCGTTGAGAAATATTAATTTCGTTTATTAGGCATAGATCATTTTTCGAGGTTAGGCAAACCCTAGATGGAGTCTAAATGTCTTCTCTGAATTGCCAACTAGAAAAATTTGTTAATGGCTGAAACATAGCCGTAATAAACGGAATTATAATCAGGATCCTGAACACACATCACGTAGATAAATGGTAGGCCCGGAAAACATCTATTAGCGATAACAATGCCTTAATTTGCATCTTATGGTCCCCCGATGCCTAGTTCAATGTTTTAATGCTGCCTTAAAATTATATTACATCTGAATAATAGGATAGAGCCCCCAATAAACTTCTAAACTCCGGAAATATTTCCGGCCATTCGCAAACGAGACCCAAAACTGACCCAATCCCCGCAGCCCTATACCCTAAAAAATAGATAATCTGCATCTCGTCCCGCCGATCATAAAATTTACGACCCGCGCGCCCCCCAAAAGAGCCAGATAATCGTGACAGATAGTTAAAACAAAAACGTAAGACTGACCGTTTGTTCAATGTTGCTGCTCGGCTGCGCAAGGGTGGAGGCTGCCAAAAATCCACTATTAGCACTGGCGGCCGCACCCAAATAAGCTTCGCTATAGCCGGCATAGAATGGGTTCTAAAATGGGGAATTATCTGGGGATCACTGAATTATCATGTTAAGCGGATTTTTGCGCTCTTTGGAATTTAACTTTCATAATCAGTTGCACTAATTTGGTACTATTTTAAGCTTTCGGATTTTATAGCAATTAGCACAACAGCAATATTTTATAAAACTTATTTTTCTTAATAGCCAAAATCTTAAATTTGCTTCTAACTAAATGGAAATAATGAAAGCCGACGGCATTATTCAAAACTATCACAAAAAGATTTTCGTAGGATTTACAGGAAAATTTTATCGAAAAATTCATTATAAAACTGCAGCCCTACAAATATCTTTATAAACGTATAAAACTTGCATTTCCGAAACACACCTGACCAAGCGAGGCGGCGAATTCCGAAACGGCGGCTAGTCCGGCAGGGCCGGATGCAGATGAGGCCATCGGGCGGACTGGTGGAGGCGTTTCGGTGGATAGCCTGTAGAAATCGTTGATAGGGGCCCGAGGGCATCGGTCAGCCCGAATTATCGAGGTCCAGCTGACGATCAGAGGGGGGGAGAAAAGGCTAGAGGAGGGCCAGCTGGATAGGGCCGAGAAGGAGGAGCAAGAGGAGCAGCACATGGCTGCACCCTCAGTCAAACATATAGCCCCGCCTCCAGCCGACCAATCCGTGCTCAACCCCCACCGTCAACCTCATAGCCCTCCGCGCCTTTTCCCCCTCCCCGCTGACCATCATTCATTCAAGAAGAATGGAGCAGCAAATTGCCAATTTCGGACAGATATTGCTGTCATAAACAATGAGCTGCGAAAAAGAAGCGGGATTTAGCCGGATGTGGTGGGAGGTAGGGGATCGGATACGGTATCGAGCCTCCGTTTTTGAATTTACCGGTTGAATTGAAAGAAAAAATTAGACAGATGAGGATCAGCTTGAGACGCAGTCAAGTGGATTTCGCCAAAATTTGAAGAAAATATGTAAATTGGATATTAACTACGTTTTAAAACAAGCCACTTTTTAAAACAAGCTCCGCCAAGAAAAACAACCATTTTCGAAACCAAATCCGAATGAGTATGCTAAAATCTTGTTGGTTCCGAAAATCCGCATTGTCCGCGTTGCGTGCCCATTATTCAGCCCTACAAAAGGAGCCGCTACCGGAAACTGAACTCGACTCGCCCGCCACCCCACATCCCGGCTTGGGGGCTTTTTTTCGCTAGCACGCCAAGTAAAGTAATTTGGGTAATTATGTGGTACTATCTGCGAAAGGAAAGGCAAAACCGGGCTCGCTAATATAAAGAAAAGTTTCGTATATGCAAATTAAGGAATAAAATTTAGTGAGTGCCAAAGGTTTGAAGAACACTGAAATTTGTTTAAAACAATTTACAGGTCGAGCAAAATGCGTGGTCTAGGGCGAATAGCAAAATGAATAGAGATGTGCACATTTTCTTGAAGAAATTTAGTAAAATTAAACTTCGTCACTTTTTAAAAGTCTTTCCAGTCCCTTTAAACCACTTTTCGCCTCACGTTTTTGCCAAGACCTCCACCGCCAACCTCATTGTTCTTCCCACCTCCGCAAATGATTCCTATTTGTCTATACACGCGTGTGCCTTCCTTCTTCCCATACGCTACGCTCGCCTTTTTCTGGGTCCCGTGTGGAGGAAAAGAAGAAGGAGAAGGAGGGGGGAATGGGTTGAGATGTCTATCTATCGCCCCCCCCCTCGCACCAGCTGTAAATCATGACGATCCTCGAACGATCGTCTTCCGACCCCTCCCATCGTCTCCTCATCCTCCTCAATTCTCGTGCTCCACCGCGTTATTCTACACCCAACCAAATGTATGTGCCCTAAGGGGGAGATATCTGCAGATAACCCCTTTGTTTTCCCATCTCATCAAAACAATTGGTGCACGCGGGATGGAGACCGGTAGGGTGGAATGAATGGATCGGTACAGCTTTCGGCTACGGGCGAAACCTGTTAGATCTGAGCTTGGGTTAGAGTAGAAAACTGCTCAGAAACGTGGTCCGTAAATTTTGTCTTTTTAAATTCTAAATAGCTAGCGAAATAGAAGCAAGGCTAGTAATTTGCATGTGTAGTGACATATTGGGAAAACTGCTAAAAATGCCGACAGATAAAATTTTCATAGGCAAAATTTTCATAGGTTGAAACAACATCCGAAAATCTCGAAAAATTTCTATTTAAAAGGAAGGGGAATTCAGATTAGTCTCAAAGATATTTGGGATAGTTATAGATGACGGGATCAGCACTGGAATTCCATAAAATACATATCAGATTCCGTCGTTTGGATTCTTCATTATTTTGTTATGAAAATCGTTATGAAAATCTGAAAATAGATATATAGTTTCAAACGTTAAATAAATGCCTTTTGAACCATAGGTAAATTGGCATAGAAACTATTGAATTAACTATCATTTAGATACAAAAGGCGCTGCAAACTTTTAAATACTATCCCGCCGATGTGCTATTGGGTATTCGTTGTGTCGGGCGGTTGGTGTGGATTATCGAGACGGCCATCAGATACGTCAGTAGGATTGACCGGGCAACAAAGGGGCCGACAATGTTCTCCACTACCACTACCCAACTCGCACCACATCCAGGCATCCACGTTGTGCAACCGGCATGACATTTTTTGGGATGTTTAGTAGGGGTAAATTAACGTTTAATGTTTAAAATTTACTGGACTTAAGTTAAAGATCTAATTTGAAAAAAATATTCGAAATTTTTAATATTTAAAACTCTTGTAAAAAACATGAGTCTGAAAGACCACATTCGGTTCTAGCTGTAAATTTGATACACCAGCATCTATTTAGGCAGAAGGACCAAAGAGGAATCACATGCGTAGAGTATTTTTAAGCTCTTTTTTCTACGCTACATGAGCACCTAGTTACACAAAAATCTCGACATGAAATTAAAGCGAAAGCACCATTTTTTACGCTCGCTCCCACACTCCGTCAGCCACTATGTACGCACAGCTACTGTCGCTGAATAAAACGGCTGACTACGTACTTAGCGACTACGAAAGACCCCTCTTTACGCTCGTCTTTTGACGCTTTGTGAACTCCTATTCCTTCAGAAAACCAGAAAATCAACCGAGGGCCATTTAACACGCTTTTTCTGATCTATTAATACGGCATGACAATAATGTGACCTGGACCTTCCGACCCCTTGGAAAAACTCCCGAGAGCTCTTGATCTCGGAGTAACCAACCAAAACAAAGAACTGCCTACAACCGAACAGGTGCCGTCAAAGTTCAACAAGGCGACACTCTACAAAGGCTAACTCGAAAAGAAAAGATGCAGAAGTGGTGTGTATGGGGGTGTTGGTGGGGGGTGACAGCAAGGGTGTGGTTGGGATGAGCGATGGGACATGGGGTTAAAAGCGGCCGACTGCTTCGGACCAAGATCGCCCATCTCTTGTCCGCCCTTTACAAGTTGCCCCCGTCCATAAACCCTCTTGGTCATCCATTCCGACAATATCCTCTTGACACACCATATATGGGGGCTGTAAATGGGTAATATCGGGGAATATAGGGGATTGGTGACAGCTGAGAATTTAATAGAGAAGATCGAAGGAGACTTCTTGAAGCAAAATGTTTTTTGAAAGTGCAAATTCTTCTGATTAAGCAAATCAACTTCAGCCAAAAAAAGTTGAAAATAAAAGCGAATTTATGTTGAAAAACTGTATCTCGAAACTCTGAAAATGTATCTCTGAAATTATTCAAATCAACGTTTTTTTTGAAAAATCGGTAGCGCCACCTTTTTTATATCGATTTCTGCAGACTGCAGACGATTACTGCAATTTGATCCTCAAATTCAATCTATAAATATTTTTAAGGGTAAAATCATACCGCTTCCAAAAAAAAATTCCAATTTCTACAAACAAAACTCATCCTTATCATCCCCACAAATTTTTAGATCCACCATCCCTCGACTCCAACAAAGTGTAAAGTGTCCCGGATGAAAATTTAGGGCCCTCCCATCAACCCCGGTGAAGCCAACGGGGACTTATGATTGGAAATATGGTGACAACCACCCGTCCACAGTTTCCCCCCAGAATTTACGGTCGCCCGCCCGGCCCGCCAACTGTTCCATTCATTTTTGGGGTGGCTTCACGGTGTCGATGGAATGTCAAAACAGGATTTATGGCATATTAAAGGGTTCGTGAAGTAGTGGGAGCTACTGAAAAAGATAGATTTGGTTGAAGCATGCTAAAAAGGTGGATATGCAAATTTTGTGAAGCGGTACCATCGTAAGTCCGTCATTTAGTCGAATGGCCCTAGGAAAAACAGCCAGAGAATCCTCAAGCTAATCGAGATTCAGGCTCTGCATAAGCCTAAGCTTATGCGGAAAACCAAGTCCAATTCGACGCTTAAGCCTGAACTTAAACCTATCGCTAAGCTTACGCCGAGATCTAAGTTTGAGCCTAACTTAGTCTACGCTTGAGCTAAGCTTAAACCTGAGCTAGGTCTTTCCCTAAGATAAGCTCCGGCCTTTGCTAATGCGTAAGCCTATCACTAAGCCCAAACCTAGCCCAGGCCATAGCCGAAGCATAACCCTAAGCCGAAGCTGGGTCCTAAGCCAAAATCTCCACGAAAATAGTTTTCTTGACCCCCACCCCAGCCCAAAATCCACTTGTCGCCAGACAGCTTCGCGGAACCCTTGCTATATCTGCGTATGGGTGATGGGGGGACAAGTGGCCAGGCTTCTGCCACCCCCCAATCCCTGATTGCCCGTAAATCAGCGGGTGCAATGAGCGTAAACAGCGTGTATCATCCGAAAAGCCCTTCAGCCTGTCCAAGCCGTATATCTACCCCCGCGGGGGTCGAGATCCCGGCCAAATCCCCCTGGTTGCAGTAAATTCTCGGCTACGCCACGGATCAAGCCACTACAGGATAATCCTATTGTGGTAGAGCGCTGGATCTAAGTGATACAATTTCTATGCATTGCCTAGAAAAGTCCCTAAACTTCAAATATTGATATAGGCAACGAAAAGCCATTTCCAAATACATAGAAAAGATAGATAGCTGAGCAAGTTTTCTTGATTAATGGCTAACGGGAACGATGCTTTCAATCGAGCTTCTGGGCGGCACAGCGGGCCCCGGGGGGCAGGCCTTCATGAATACGAAATTCACCGTATGCTAATGGCGTGTTCCGAACGGGCCACGGCTTCTGGGGTACGGTAGTTTGCTGAGGCTGACGCAGTAAATATAAACTCTTATTATTTCCTGATAGCCTTGAATCCTTAATTCGAAAATATTTACAGTATGCTTCAAGCTGGGCTTTGGAGGGATTTTTTTTCTATATTGTCTGCTACTCCCTCAATCATATGCACCAACAAAGAGGTTAACGAAGATCGCTTACTGCGATAATCTAGCAATAACTCTAGTGCGAAAGTTGGTGATTGCGCAGTAAGCAATTAGCGGCACTCTGCGA